TGCAGCCAAGAGGCCCATGATCACTCTGGATGAACTGCAGATAACTACAGCTGAGGTGGGAGAGTCTGTCCATAGGACAACAATCAGTCGTGCACTGCACAAATCTGGCCTTTATGGAAGAGTGGCAAGAAGAAAGCTATTTCTCAAAGATATCCATAAAAAGTCTTGTTTAAAGTTTGCCACAAGCCACCTGGGAGACACACCAAACATGTGGAAGAAGGTGCTCTGGTCAGATGAAACCAAAATCAAACTTTTTGGCCACAATGCAAAACGATATGTTTGGCGTAAAAGCAACACAGCTCATCACCCTGAACACACCATCCCCACTGTCAAACATGGTGGTGGCAGCATCATGCTTTGGGCCTGCTTTTCTTCAGCAGGGACAGGGAAGGTGGCTAAAATTGATGGGAAGATGGATGGAGCCAAATACAGGACCATTCTGGAAGAAAACCTGTTGGAGTCTGCAAAAGACCTGAGACTGGGACGGAGATTTATCTTCCAACAGGACAATGATCCAAAACATAAAGCCAAATCTACAATGGAATGGTTCACAAATAGACGTATCCAGGTGTTAGAATGGCCAAGTCAAAGTCCAGACCTGAATCCAATCGAGAATCTGTGGAAGAGAATCTGTTAACAAACGCTCTCCATCCAACCTCACTGAGCTCGAGCTCTTTTGCAAGGAAGAATGGGCAAGAATTCCAGTCTCTCGATGTGCAAAACTGATAGAGACAAACCCCAAGCGACTTGCAGCTGTAATTGCAGCAAAAGGTGGCGCTACAAAGTATTAGCGCAAGGGGGCCGAATAATATTGCACGCCCTACTTTTAAGTTTATTTTTTAAAAAAGTTTAAATTGTCCAATAAATTTTGTTCCACTTCACGATTGTGTCCCACTTGCTGTTGATTCTTGACAATTTTTTTATTTTTATATCTTTATGTTTGAAGCCTGAAATGTGGCGAAATGTTGAAAGGTTCAAGGGGGCCGAATACCTTCGCAAGGCACTGTATAACTTTTACGAAGTCATAAGCATTTTTATGAACTCATTAGAAAATAAATCAGGTATAGCATCTTTAAATATAATAAATACTTCTATAGAAAGTGGCCCACAAGCTTTCAAAACCACAGTATAATCAAACCCCTTCCGAATAAAATCTCGACTTCATATTGATAACAAACTACAGACTAATTTCAAACCCAAGAAGGTCCTGGGTTTGATTCCACATCCAGACAGTTGCTTTGTGGAGTTTGCAGGTTTCCTCCGGCTGCTCCGATTTCAGCGACCACTAAAAACATGTTCCATTGATCTGAAAGTTATGAGCGAGTGGTCTGTGAAAGGCACTTTATAGATAATGAATAAAGCCTTTTCAGCCTTTATTATTAAAGATTACTGACTTGGATTACCTATAAGAGATCCTGAATGAAGAAAACTTATGTGGCAAAAATCTGGAACAGTCTTCTTGAAAATGTGAGACAGCATTTTTACTTTGACAATGTTCAGATCTATGTTAAATGCACTGGGATGTGTGATTTCATCAGGTTATGCCATTTGTTTTTGAAAATGTATGAATTGTGCAATACATATAAAGACCCATGCTACTTTCTAACAGGCACCGCGCTCTTGTATCCTTTTTCTTTCTTTTTGGTTTATGACTGTTACTGACTTTAGCCTCTGTCACTGTTGTACCACAGGTCTCCTTATGCAAAAAAATAAATACAATTCCAATGAAACTGGTATAGCTGTCTTTTTATAACCGAAGTCTCTCTGGGTTAATTCTTTTTCCTTTACTATTTAAACTCAGAGTCTGAATAAAGGAGCAACAACACAAAAAAACGTTAGCGCCCCTGCTTCAAACTGTTTTTCTTGCCATTTGAATTGAACACTTCAAGCCTCTGTATCGAAGACAAAGGATCACGTACAGTAAGTAACAAATAACTTATAACACACATCCCTCGTGGGCAAATACACAAATCTTCTTTCTGTAGTCGAACCAGAAGCACCGTTACCTGCAGCCGGCCTCCCGCTGGTCCGGTCAATGCCGTCTCACAAATTGCTAATCCCGTCGCCGTTGTCGCGGAGCACGTTGAATAAACTGGTGAGCTGTTTCCAAAAAAAAAAAAACTTAACGACCAGTTCTTCCATGGCCCATTTGCGGGAAATATGGACGACGTTAAAATCCGAGCAGGTGCTACCACTATTAAGCAGCTCATAACCTGACCATATGCCTGAGCAGAGGACCATTCAAGTCCAAGGAAAGGTTTGTGAATACTTTGTGAACGCGATTATTACTACCCCCTTTTTTTTTTCTCCTCTTGTTGCACCAGTGAGCAGTGTATGAATTAGCATAACCATCTATAGGTAAATGACACTGTTGAGCGGAGGTGCACTTGCCTTCATTTGAATAGAAATGATATCACTTTTCCGCCTTAAAGAAACCAGTCGGGTGTTTATAGCCGTATGCATGAATATGTTGAGAATATATTTGGCTTCCTCTGCTGAAATGAGTTGCGGTGTTTGTCCTAAAAAGCTGCAGGCGACATCCACAGAGTAGCTTTGGGAACAACAGTTTTATTTTTGGGAATCGTTCGGAGTCATAAGGAGCATTAGAGACAGTAATAATAATAATAATAATAATAATTGGTAGTAACACGAAAAAAAATCAAAGATAACATACACACTGGTTGAGCTGGATGGAAATGAGTGACTATATAGACAATACATTGATCAAATAATATACAAAAAAAAGCGACACATACCGTCGTAAGGATGTAAAAATGAAATCATATTGAACAGAAATAATGTCGAAGAATAAAAAGACAAACTGTAAAAAAAAAATAAAAAAAAAACAATCAATAACGTGAACACATTGAAGTCAGTAAGGTGCTAGCAACAGGTCTCCGTAAATCCGTCATAAACTGTCTTTATTCTCAATCTCAGTATTTCTTTTTTTTCAAATATTTTCCATTAAAAAAATAAACAACATGAAATCAATTTGCAAAGAAGTCCAGAATACAAGACACGAGGGAGGTCTGATGCCGAGCGGCTGATTTATACCGTTAATATGTATGCTGATTCTCCCGCTGAAAAACTACACTCGTAATCTAACCACGATTTTCCCCTTCATAAAGAATCGTCTTCACTCGTCTCCGGGCGATGGCTGCGAATGAAGAAGAATGCTGCTTCTGAAGTGAAATCAAATCTAACATGTGACATCGGGAAAAAAGGATAATTTGAGTTTTTTTTTGTTTTAACATTATTGACCGGCAGAGTACAGCGGATATGAGGAAACACAGGAACCCTGATACTAAAAATCCTGCGCCCCAAAAAACAAAATACATTTCATGAACGGAAATGAAAACTGAACAAGCGTAGACAAAAGCACTTAAGAGTTGGATCTCGTAACTCATTCAAACCGTTATAGCATTTCTGGATCCCGTTCTCGCAGCCTGAAGCTTACTTTGTTCACATGTACGAGGTGTCGAAGAATGCCTCACGCTTTACTTTTAAAATCGCAATCGTAGAAACTGGATAGCCCACTTTCTATTTAATTATTATTTTTCTCCAAATGTTCTCCAAATGAAAGCAAGGGCTGACATTTCCACAACATTAGTTATACCTCCAGGCCAGTTGTATCAAAAAAGAAAAAAATTAGAAGGGGACGTTATGCTAATATTACGTTATTTTGAGCTTTTCAAATTACGATATTGTTCCGTTATGAAATACAGTCTAGGAGTTGTTTTTAGATCCACGCTAATATCCAGATTTAATGACGCAAACCTGTAACTCCGCCCCTTCTGCCAAAAAGCTCCTGTCTTTGTCCTGTTATAGTAAGATTTGACTGTATCGCAATCACGCGCCGTTTTCAGCCTTTTAAAACAAGATTTGTGTCCGTGAATTAGTTTTACCAAATTCTGACGTGAAATTTGGTTCTTTACAATTGCATAGCTTTGTTTACAACCGGTAAGTTTCACATTTCAAAAAAAAAAAAGTATAGAACAGATTCAACTCTGCCCTCTGGTGGTAGCGTCGGCAAATAGAGGCACACGTTTCACCATTAACTATTTTCCAGTAAAGACGTTATTTCACATTTTAAAACATTAAATAACAAAGTAAACAGTCACGTTAATATATTCAATGGCCAAAAATAATGCATCATGTTTCTTTTTAAAAAAAATGAATACAATTTTAAACATTTTTCCGGGTTTGTTGAATTATACATAATGTAAAAAAACGCTGCGTCGCTAGCGAAAGAGTAAAGAAAGCCCAAATGGCCAAAAATACCCGCCTACATGTGAACAAAGGTTTCGTTCATCAGATTGAGAATGACACATGAGGAAACATCAGGGGGCAGTCTAACCTAAGGTCTTGGTATAACCCACCATTATATTAAAACCCAGCATTATTTTAAAAAACATAGTCAACGCAAAAATAAAAAAAGGACTAATTTAAACACACAACCTCCGTTCCCGTCTGCGTCCGCTACATTAAATGAAATAGTTTTGCAGGCTTCTTCTCTATGACTTCCAACCGTTCCCCTTACAATCATTGTTTCTTGAGGTCCCTCACTTACACAGATGCCAGCACCACGTCACATACACCTCACATGCAAGCTCAAAATGGCCCAATGACACTGATCGTATTTTACAGGGATAACAATGGACAAGGTTGTTTTTCTCAGAACCGCGAGGGTCGGCCACGCGCCTCGCACAGTCACGTTGAGGGTTGCGCGGGTGTCAACGGTGATGTTTTTATTCACACGACTACATTGTCTCCAGTTCGGGAACTCCTTAAAAAAGTCCTTTTCGAGTCCCGCTAAATTTGCACTGCGTAAATAGTCCGTAATGGTTACTATAGTGTGCTTCTGGGAACAGCATGAGTCCTTATGGAAACATTAGTCCGTTTCAGGAGATCTTTCTTTTATAATCACAGTTGCCAATATGGTACTGTCTAAAAAGTTTATACATCTCCAGTTTTTTGCGTGTTGTAAATGACTACGATTTCTATACATAATATTCCTTGTCCTTGTCTTTCGGTCTCTTGCTACTGCCGCTCGCTTTGGCGCCGCCGCTGGGTGCTTTCTCCTTCACCACAGCGCCGTTGGTTTGCGCCGAGTTGCTGATGTAGTTGCGGGTCTCGTCCACCTGGTAGGAACCCTCGTCTCTGTTCCTGTACTTGTACATGGCGTAGAGTAAGATAAGGATGCAGAGCGCGGCGGCCGACACGATGCCCACCACCATGCCTGTCGTGCTGCTGGACTCCCGGATCACCTCGGACGCGCCGGGAGGAACTCTGCGCACGATGGCGGGCACGGTGGGCAGGGCCACGGGCACTGTACGCAGAATGGGCGACGTGATGAAGGGTCCCCGCGGTTTAGTGCCGTCCGCGTCGAAGGCCGTCGGCAAGGGCAGCAAAACAATGTCCGGCTGCGGCGGTTTCACTTCACGATTGTTCATTTTCCCCGCGGGCAGCTTGGGGGGCGTGTCCGAGGGGACCGCCGGAGTGCCGCGGGGGCTGAGGACAGGAGAGGTGGATGTAGTCCTACCTGCCTCAGAGGCTTTGCTAGGCCTTAAGTCCTTGGATTCCCACTTGGGCGCGATAGCTTTGTAGCCGCCTTCATAGGCCGACGTGGTCAAGATCTTATCTGTTACCAGGGAGAAGGTGGTGTAAAAATCTTCATCGTCAGTCGGGGGCAGGCTAGAGTCGAAAGCCTCGCCAGAGCCAAACCCCGAAATCACCATGCCATCATCACCATCAATATCACCATCATCACAATCATCGCCGCCTCGGTCCGACAAGCAAGGAACCCCCGCCTCAGGGGCCATGGTGAGGACAGGGCGGAGGGTCGGGGGGAGGGGGATGAAGGGAGAGCGGGTGGATACAGAGGGGATGTCTATGGGGTCCTCAACTAGCACGGGGATCACTAGCTCCCCTCCTGGAAACCAAACAGAGAAAGAGCAGAGTTAGAAAGCAGCCGCAAGCCCACAGAGCAGAAGACTAAAGTCACACAGAGTCAGTATCCAAAGAAAAAGCAAAGCCCAACAGAAAAACAGAAGAACTGAAGAGAAATAATACAAAAGGAACTGAAAGTACTGTACCAGTGCAAAAACAACGGAACTCAGAACCAAAACAAGACCAACTGAAAGAAAACAACAGCCATGAAGAAAGAAAAAACGTTGCATCAAAAGGCTTTGAGGAACGCACAAGGGAGAGCCATCCTAAAATAACTGTCCTACTGTAAAAACATCTCGGCAAGTGAAATGACTTGAATTAGGAACATTTGATCTCGATTTGAGGAGATTTGATCTTACAAGTAATTAATCTACCGACAGAGCAAACACATGTTCTATTAGTGGATCATTTGAACTGACAGATCTAATCTACTTGAATCTAGAAAGCATGTTCCTCATTCAGGTATTTTCAAACTGTCAATGTCTTCATACACTGAACCTAAACTATCCAGTCGCTTATGCATTTATGAGCGTGTGTTTAGTCAAATGGCGTAGCTAAAACGTGTGTGCTTGTTTTAAATTTCCACCTGATCCATCTGCATATTTTCCCCCTAAACGGTTCTTTCCGTTTTGTTTAATTTATCTTACGAGTAAATCCTTTCACCAAAAACCGGCGCTCTGTGAATTGAGAGAGCGGTGCAGGGTTTTAGCATTTGTTTGCAATTCATATGCTGCTGGAGCCGAGAGCTAAGTGAAGAAGATGGTGCTCAGTGAAGCAGTGGTTAACCCCCATGACCTACGCAGCCAAACGCACCCTCAGCGGCGCACGCGGGAAACTTTAGGAATCCTTTATGTGAGACTGTTTCAAAGTTGGAACCAAAGTCACATTGAGGAGGTGGGAAAGGGTCCGGCGTTCACTGCTATTGACTGTTTTAGTTCTGCTGAGTTTCAATATGAAAACAAGGCAATATTGAAAGAATAGTATTGAATTATGAATGAGTATTTAAACTCAACTTGTGGAGGGTCAGATTTTAGCTTGGGTTCTTCTAAATGTTGGTTAATTATTCATTCAAGTGGGTTTATTTGGGCATTTATAAGAAGTAAAATTAATAACATGAACGATTTATACAGTTTTAAGATAAACTTTGAAATTGCGTTCTCATTTAGAGTAACATTAGTATTGACAATAGTATTTACAGTATTTACAATTTGCTTTTATTTAGGTATATAGGTATAATTTAGGTATAATTGATATTTTATTGATTTTGTAATTGTAGTTGCGTTAATATCATGCATATTAAAATATAAAACATGATTAATAATATTAATAAACATTCATATTTGTTGTATACATGTAAAACTGGCACACCTATATAATTACTTAGTTACTTTTATCTCTGTGCAGAAACTTATATATAAAGTGAATTGTTTTGTAAGTAAACGTTGCCTTTACATTACATTTCACACAAATTCAACCACAACATGCTGTCTTCATCTTTTTAGAAAACATTTTTTATCTTTTGCATACTATTCTCTATTTGGGTTGAGAGCTGATTGGCTGAGACAGGGTCCTCTTTTGTTCACGTTTCGAAGGTATAAATTATTAAACAGTTCCTTTTTGGTGGTTTGAAAGACACCCCAGCTATTATCTTGAAGGTCAAGTAGGTCTCTAAGTGTAGGTATTTTGACATTTCGCAATTTTTTTCATTTTTGTTCATTTTGACCATGAACCGTTTTCTGGTTTAAAGTCTAACTAAGTCTTTCCAACTAATTATTTTGAGCGGACACAAATATATATCATTTCTCGTTCTAGTCCATTGAATACTAGAATAAGCTGTACCTTCATTGTGGTAACAGTGGTAGCCATGTGGTAATATTGTAGAGCATGTGTCCACAGTGTGTTGTGTGCCTGCTCTAACCTTGAACCGTGCTGTCTAAGATTGTCCTAAGTGGGCTCCCCTATTTGTCCCGCCTCTTGCCTTTTGAGCCCTATAGGGACCACGATGGCACAAAGTCGGCCAGCAGTTCAAGTACACCTGAATGTTTGCCTCAGGACTGATTTAGTCACAATATGTATCATTTACAAGCTTTAAATGTTTGAAAATATTGAAATAAGAAAAACTGCATGCATGTATATAAAAGATCATTTTTGAGTAGTGTTATTCAGTGACTTTTTCAGGCTGCATAAATGCGTGGGAAACATTCAGATATATCTTGAAGCTGCGTATCGTCTTGCCAAAGTGGCTTGTTAGAACATTGCAACATTGCACAAACGGGGCACTATCAAAGAGATGCAAACCTTTTAGAACAATAAGGAAAATTAACGTAAAATAAAAGTGAAATTAAAAGTCAAACCAAGGCATAAGTAAGACATTGCAAAAAGGAGATTATAGTTAGAGCATTGTCAAAACATTCACAAAGTAAAGCCACAGATATAGTTATCCAGAAACAGGGATTAGTATTAAAAACGAAAAGAAAGTTGAGCTTAGAAAATGATAAAAGCCTACGAAAACGTCAAAAAGGAAGAAAAGCATACCAGTCAGTTTTGTCAACTTACATCAACAAATTGCCCGCATGATTTTGGCAGGAAGAAAACAAAAAAATTTACAAAAGAAAGTTGTGTAAGAATGCCTTTGGACAGGTTAAGATTTTTTTTTCTTTTACAACTTCTGATTAAGTAGTATATAAGTTAAGCTCTGTATTTTCAGACAGGATGGGAGGCAACGACACATACATCCACACATCATGACATGAAAAAAATCTTCACCATTCTGTTCGGGATATATCTTTTCGTCATATAAAAATGCTATAGATATACTTTGATAGATAAATCTCTCCATTAAGTATCGTGATGTCTTTCGTATTTTTTTATTCTTTCCAAAATGGTATGGCTGTACAGTTTTTCTAGTAAAGGGTGGGTAGTGGGAGGAGGATGTGATTGAGAGGGGGCGGGGCCTATGAAGACACTAGGAGGGAGATGACATAGATGGGGGTGACTGTATACATCAGTTGCCATGTCCATGTAAAGGCGGCACGGAGCGGTCGGGCAGAATTTGAGCTTTTGGCTGTAAGGAAGGGATGGGAACATACAAACAATGAGCATAAACATGCCCATCTACAAAAGAGAACAGCACTCTCAACAATGACAATTTTACAGACCCTAAGCTGCAACTTCTTTTGCCATGCACAGTGTAAATAGAAGAAATAGTAGTTCAAATTTTCAAGTAGCTTCTAAGATTTCAAAATTAGCGTTGAAACAGTTCGGAACAATAGGGTCTACTTTTTGAGGTGGCTTCGCTTTTTTCCCCCAGCGAAGTTCAGAGATTTTGACTCGAATTTGCGAAATCCAATATGGCCGTCCAACACGTTTTGCCTTTTGCAATTTCGCTGAGGGGAAAAAAGGAAGCGTGTTTTTTTTCTAATAAGGGATACAAAATCATTAAACATTTCTATACAAATTGGTTAAAATTGGAACATTTTCAGAACGTGTAAAACAGAGAAACATATATGCGTTGGGACATATATGTACGAAACAAAAAACGAAAAAGATATATAGATATACAAAGAAAAATAAATAGAAATTGGCAAGCAAGAAAGAAAGACATTTGAATTTTCCACAGTTTCAAAGATGAACAACCAGAGAGCACACACTGAGGCAGACAGGTCGGGGGGACAGTTTATAGGCAAAATGTCACCACCTCAAGTTAACTAATAATAAAACAAATATCTTATTATTAGTAACCGATTTCTCTTGTTAGTATTAAAACACGGGACAGGGCGTGCAATCTGGATGTACGTCAAGAACATAAAAAAAAAGGTTAAGAAATCAAAAAAACAACATGGTTTTTTACCAATTGGATTTTAGTTTCGCTATCACACGTTGGGTTAATGCATGCGTTTAAGTAAGTTGCATTTAGGGAGAGTAATATGTAATAATAACACATATACGGGGCAAGCAATGGGTAAGGTGATAAAAGGGAGAAAAGGGGGATTTGGGTTTCAAAAACAGGTCCAAGGTGAAAAGGAGGAAGCTGCAACCAATGGCTGTGGGGTACATCCGTATATAAAAAGTCACCATTTATCAGTCTCTAACAGGGAAAGCGAGGTGATGAATACGCCACATTATAAGGCATTTAAGCAAGCAGCGGTCGTTAATTAATCAAGGGGTGGAACGCTATGGTAATTAATGGGTGAGTTTTATTTAATTTTTAGACATTTTTTGGCCCGAGTGTGTCTAAAAACCAACAGCCGTCGCTTGGCAGCAGGGAGAGATTGGGGGGAGGGGGAGGGGAAGAAGGAGTTCCACAAAGAGCCTACACATTGGGTTTGGGCATTGAAGTTAAGGAGATCTGAAAGGCACATTTGTCTTCGCGAATCGGAGACGGGGGTTTATGTGCAAGGATGCCGACTGAAACCTGATTTATTGAGCGCCGAGGAGTGTCGGAGGGACGTTATGTAAAGGATGGGAAGTGTCGTTCAGGCGGGACAGTGTTTTATCAGTCGTGGCTTTGTGACGATGGGCTTCTCTCATGGTATTTGACACCATCGCCATAGGTTGTCTTTAAAGGCACATTGCATTATTTCTGATGGCGTACGTTCGCTTGCTGTCATGCATTTGTCATTTCTTGGCTCGGAGTGTACATTTTGATGATATAAAACATGTATATACTTCCATCCGACCATTTTTTTTGCTTTATCTGTTTGCCGTGTCGCAGGGGCAGCACTTCCCTGTCCACGTAATCCACATATGACCTGTGTTTATACTTGTATGATTTTAATGGTTCCTTTCTTGTGTTAAAGGGGACATGAACCGATTCTGGTCTCTTTAATATAATACTTAATCCCGGAACTCTTTCTCAAACATATAGTTCTTTATGAAACATTTAGATTAGAGATAAAACTATGAAAATGACTTGCACCCCTTAGCCCCGCCCCTTTTGACGGCGCATCAGTGAATCTCCTCTGCAGACAAAGTTGTGCTGTG